AGAAGGAAGATTAGAAATTGAATTTTGGTTTAAAACATATACGTCGAGAGATTGAAGATGGAGGGGATAAAAAGGTGGTTGTACAACGGAGAGTGGAAACTATTGGATCTTTAGGTGTTATGGTTGTTGCAACTACCATATCTATGTTTATGTTAAACGGAGGAATCATTGATTGATTTACTAAAGTTAAGGTCAATTCACTATTCAAACTACTGGAACCTTTAGATAATGAGTGTCTAATTTTGTGTCTCATTACTTTGATCGAGTCTATTAGTATATTGGATGCGACTTTAATTTTGTCATTTGCTCTCAAGTTTTGATGGTCTCCTTTTAGTTGAGTTGTTAGCATATGATTTACTTGAATCAACAACTCTTCATTTCTGTTTTTTTTTTTATAAATCCATTTCTTTTTTATTAGTGGCATGTTATTCATAGAGAAGAGCTTTGAACCATTTATGTGGGATTGTGAGGTTTCATTTCAGTTTCAAACTATCTATGGATCGTGTGGGAATTCGAGCTTTTATATTATATATTTCTGGACAATCTATTAACCAATATCATTTTAATGGGGGCTCAATTATCATTATAAAAATGAGATTAATGATACATTTGTATATTCTTAAATGAGGAGGGTATTTCACTGAATGTTCGACCTATATATTCATTCTGTATGTAGCATCTCGATTGAATGATTTTCAATAAACTTAAACGAATTAATAGACTTAAACATAAAATATAAATATAAATATTAAAATATGAACATTCCGGCCAACGGGCCGGGTTATAAGCTAGTTTTAAGTGTAACGGAACACCATAAGCCAATAACCAAACCACATCCTTTTGGGAGATGACATTACGGCCGTTTTCCGGGTTCCAGAAAGAAAAGTGAAACTTGAAATTGCAAAACCTGGTATGATAAAGCTCCTTAATACGAGCAGCCTCAGAGGGACACGGACAAATGAGTAACCAATCTCCGTCTGAGAGTTATTCCAATCCGAAATTGTCATTGATGTTCCACACTTTTTTCGCCCAACACCAGAAATCATGCAGATGAACACGAGAACTAATTGGATTATTGCGAGCGGAACGAATAGGACACTCTTTGGAAGAAACGATCGGTTACCGAGCCATATTATTGGGAATAACGCGAGCTTACATCTAAAAATTCTGAATTGGCTAGTTGTAAATAGCCCCAGACTATGAAACAAAGGATTATACCGGACTTACCTACACCGAGGTATTGACGGTGATTCTCAAATATCGCAAATAAATGAATTGTCTCTTGGTTCTTTCGCCATCCTGCCTAAAAAATCATTAAGATTTACAATCTTATGTATTCCCAGGTGAAGATTTCCAAATCCGATAAGAACCTGATCACCAGGCTTCGACCGAGAAGACTTCGCCTTTCCTTAACTCCTTCCTTCTCAACTTCCACAAAGCTAGCTCTCACCCCTTATTGTCTTAATAGAACACTTCCCTCCGCCGTAGAAGCCACCATATCTAACTGCATCAGCAAATGAGATCTCAGGGGAGGTAAAATGGTTCTGGCCATTCCCAGCCACAGACGCCGTACGAAGTTGGAGTTCCGCCGAATAAACTTCTCGAAGCAGATTTGTTATCCGAGCCCAACCATGAGCCATGTATGCCTACGGAATAATAACCATATAAAACTTCCCGTTTCCAGCCTTCTCGGATATTTGGAGGTATGTCCCTTTTCGGTTGACGCCCCTTCCTATATGGATCGAACGAGAACCACTTGTCTTGATACATTTACTAGGGAAGGACCAGCTCTTCATAGCCGCCGTTTGAAGAACACCTTGCAGCCAGGTAACCTGAGGAATGTCTAGTGCAACGCTCCATCTTCTCTTTCCTTCATTCACTTGTAGTTTATAGAGCCATGCATGATTCACCCCCTTTAACGCTGTAGAGAGACACTAACCTAGAACCCATTCGAGTCTGCCGCCGAACTTGTTCCGTCGTGCTGCTTCCGCGCTGCCCATCCAAAAGCTCAGACCTGCAAGACAAAGGAAAAGAGACTCTCTTGACCCTGACCGGCTTACCACAATCAAAGGCACCCTCTCCTCTCTCGCCATCTCTCTGTCCCTCTCTCTCTCTCTCTCTCTCTCTCTCTCTCGCCATGATTCAAATACATGATAATAGGAATATACGAACGGTCATTTACCACATTCGTCTTTGTGTACCACTAGTTACCACCCCTATACCTCGTTGTATGAAGTAATACGTTATAGTCCTGTATTGTTTCCCCCAGAAATTTGTGGATCCAATATATCAAAAAGATTTTGTTCCATATGTGCAAACACTACGGGAAAAATGGCATCTTGCAACCCCAAAAATGTGTTGCGTAAAGTCTTAAAAGAGTTGTAACATGCTAATGCAATACTTTCACTAGGGTTGCATATACTGGGGGTTGCAAATGGAATAAGCAACTGTTTTTCACTTTGCGCAACCAAAATAAAAAGGATTGCGTATTCTTACATATTACGCAATACCACTTTAGGCAACACATTTCAAAATTTGTGCAACACATTTTCTAACATAGGCAACATTTTCTACAAGTTTTCGCAACATTTAAAATTTTATTTGTGACAAGTTTGAATCGTCACAAACGGCTGAACTAATGATGACAAATTTGTTTGTAACGGATACTAATACTTTTGTGAAAGTGTTTTTGTCAATAAAGATCTTTTTCGTGACAAATTACTATAGATACGATAAACCAATACAATGACCTATTTAATTTTCTCACAAACAATAGTATTTGTGACCATTATTCCGTAGCAAATACAGTTTTTGAAGTTCAATTTATGGTCCATAGAGTGAAAAACGAAGGTGGTAACGAGTAGTATGAGTGGTATGAATTTTTTCTTTCTTTTCGAAATACATTGAAATTCAAATTAGAACAAAGAAGATAATAGTCGAATAAAAAACCAGGGAAAATAAAAAGCCATTAAATTTCACCCGTTAGATCTAAATTTGGAAGAGTTATACACCCTATTCTAAACCGACGAATTTTGAATCAAATTGGGAGTTTCAGATTTTTTAAGTGTTAGTAGGGATTAAAATTGGGAAGTGGAATTGGAAAGCGGCGCCATATTATGTTGTCCCAGACTTTTGTTCCGCAGACGCCACCACAAAACACTTCTAATAGGCGCCGCGTCTGCACATTTGACAGACGGGCTCGTTTGTTCCCTCTGCTTGATCTGGATACAGGTGTGAACGAGGCTACGACAGAAATACACCGTTCAGAATCTCCATCTGATTTCGTGTCTACTTCAATTCCCAGGGACCAAATGGCAACTCCAGCGCATCAGCCACCTTCACAGGCCACTGAATTCACCAGAATTCTAGACCATGGTCTACCTGATTATGAGTGCCAGTTTTGCTCAGCTCGGTTCTGGTATGAAGAGCGACTGAACCGCCATCGATCAACTGCGCCTGTCTACCCATTGTGTTGTCAGAAAGGTCGAGTGCGCCTTCCTTTTCTACAAGAAACTCCTCAATACCTTGAACAGTTGCTTGGTATAAATGGTGGACCGATGGCTGCTCACTTTAGAGACCACATACGTGCATATAATGCAGCATTTTCGTTCACATCATTTGGAGCTCAGCTTGATCCTCGAGCTTCTTTGACACGCGGTCCATATTCATTTGTTATATGTGGTGAGAATTACCATCGAATGGGCTCTTTGCTCCCGGTTGCTGGCCGTAGACCTAAGTACTCGCAGCTCTATGTATTTGATCCACAGACTGAACTTGCAGATCGCTTGTCAAATTTTAGTTCCAGGGAACATTCCTTGCGCCCTGATATCGTATCTGGTCTTATGAAGCTGTTCGATGTGACCAACGAATTAGTCAAGTCTTTTCGAAGAATCCGCACTCAACTGTCTAACCCAGCATCTGCAAATCTACGGTTGCGGATTGTTGGCTCGAGAGACACACAGAATCGCCAATATGATCTCCCTACAGGGAATGAACTGGCTGGCTTGATTCCTGGAGACTTCGTGGCCGATCAAGAAGAACGTGATATCATTGCCAGCCATCGCGCAGAAGGGCTAAAGAGAATTACAAGTATCAATCCTAAATTTGATGCTTTGCACTACCCATTGTGCAGTTACTTTTTAGACCAAACCAACAAGGTGCTTACCAGTCTAACTATAGTTCCATACTTCCTTTATTTCTTTGCAGGCTACACAGTACCATTGCTTGGCACAGGTCCTCTCTGTAAAGTCTGCACGACCATGGTTTTACTTAGGATGTGCATTCTGTTTCAAAACAACCAGAGAGTTTCCTGGCACTGCTGATTTTTTCTGTGATGAACATGGTGTATTAACACCTCAAGAAACCCAATATTGGTTAGTTTAACGTTGCTCATAGTTTTTCCCCATACAGTTTCTCCAATCAATTGACCTAGACTTTCTTACACATTTTTTGCAGTTACAAAATCCATCTGGCTGTGGGAGACAATACTGGTGCGGCATGCTTTATCATGTTTGGGAATACAGCTGAGCATTTACTTCAAGTTACAGCCACTGAACTGTTAGCACGTTACCCTCAACAACATGGATATTTCCCTCCAGAAATTGTCAACATCAATGGCCGCTGGTTTTCATTTGACGTTCAACTCCCAAAATTTGGATCCTTACCTCAAACCCCTTTAGAGTTCACTATCCTTTCAATGGCCGGCCACAACCCACCTCAGCAATAGGCCAAACAAACATCAACACGCACATGTACCATCCAACCAACAGTATTATCATCCATACCACAAACAAGAATCTTACTGTTAATTAACTAACATGTTGCCTTTACTGTTTTTAGTGCTTGCATAACCATTATTTTAGGGTGAATATGTACACTTCTCCAACATTTCCAAAAAACGCTCATACATTGACTTATCTCACACAATCACCAATTACTGCTCTTTCAAACAACGTTTATTAGAAACAACTCCTTTATATAGAAACACCCGGTTTGCAAGATTTAGCAAATTCATATGCCTGATGTTTATTTATAATGCAACGTTTGAATCTGTACAAATTATTCATATTTATATCCCAAATTCCACTAAAAAAGTACCACACTTCCAAAATGATCTACCCGCCGCGAAGCGCGGGCTTCCTTCCTAGTATCATATAGTTTATTGATCATATAGCTTACTTACGAGCTTTATTTAATATATAGTTCACCACCAGTAATATATAGATAAGGAGGAGGATGCAAAACACCCTCCTTTTTATAAGCCAGAGTTCTGGTGTTCAGCAACCGTGTTTTTATAACCCAGAGTTCTGAGTATCCGCATCAGGACCTGGCGCCATCTTTGGAGCGTGGTCATGACCTTCTTGATCATGGTGAGAACCATGTTTACCATGATGCTTACGACCTTGACCATGACGATGGTTATGGCGATGACCTTCACCGTTATTACGGTGGCGGTGCCCGTGACGAGCCTTCTCCGGACAAGGAGCCGCCTCTGGTGCATTGTCGTCATCATCGCGACCGTGATGACGACGATGGTGGCGTCGATGACGAGTCTCCTCCGGGCCAGGAGCTTCCTCTGGTGCGTTTCGATTCTTGTGAAGCAAACCAGCTGCATAGATTTGTGGAGTCGGAGGAGCTTTGTGGTAATTCTCAGCAATATCATCAAGTGGCGCCTGTAATATTTGTTAAAATAACTCACATCACAAATTCTAATTATAGCATGCAATATTAGGTATCGTTAACCAGAAGAAGTTTGAGCCAAAACTGTCTACCTCGTGCGTCAAGGTCGCGTTGTCATCCTTAATTGAAGCTACTAGAGCAGTAATACTGGAAACTAGAAAGCTGAAAGCCAACGTGAAGATCAGCAACGACATTCTTGGAGCTTCAAAAGTCATGTTGATATGTGGGGAGTATGAACTATGAACATGGACATATATATATATAACCTTCTCGTCTCTGTCCATTTTCCGTTCCCTCTTATAATAATTAATTGTATTTCTATATTATTGATTATATAGAGTGAACTTTTTTTTTTTGTTAGGTATTCGGAGATTGCAGTTCTTAGAGGTTTCCATTTTGTTCGCTTGTTTTTTTTTTTTTTTTTTGTTAGGTATTCGGAGATTGCAGTTCTTAGAGGTTTCCATTTTGTTTGCTTGTTTTTGGTTTACTGACCAATACGTCGTGGGAGGCGTTGCAACTGTTGTTGGCAACTAAACTTACTAAATAACGGAAACTAACTATTGTGCGCACCACGAGCTGGGCAGACTGTTATTTGTGCAGGTATGGACTTGTCTGTTGGCATATTATGTGTCTCCTGACCAAGATATTGGGATAAAAGACAGGATTGGGGGGTTAGGATCAATTTATTTTGAATTTTGGTTTAATGGTATTTTATACCACTCTATTATTACAAATTAAGAAACGTACTTTTATGTTATTATTTTTTACAAAATTATCCTTCTAGTATCAATATCAATACATAATAATAGTGCCCTTCCGTACATAAAAGCACCAACCTTGTTAGGGTTTCTGCTCCAAGAACACTTCCTTGATCGCTACTCCCTTGAGATTTCTCGACAAAGTTTGCTGTTGCAAGGAAAAGAGTTTTTGAATCTCTGTATGTTTTCATTTTCTCCTCCAATCCGTCCCCCCTTCCTCAACAATGAGTCCCAATGAACTCATTTATACCAAAAGGAGTGTGTCACGTGTCATTTGTTGATTGGTCGTTGTTGAGGCTGAAATTGTGTTGCCTCTTGATTGCTCAAATTTTAAGGTCGCATCTCAAGCTTCCACCTACAAAAGTCGGTTCTGACATGTCAGGTAGAATGAGGGATTAGCCAAATTTGGATAATGTTGGCCCGACTTGAGCATGGAGTTATTGGCCGATCTGGACTTTGCCTGGGCCGGGTTTGAATTTGGTATCAGATCTAGAATTGGACTTTCACCTTTGGGCCTGAACTAGGTTCAAGATTTTAATTTGGGCTACAACTAACCTGTTTTCCGTTCTTTTATTTTTGCAGGTACACAATTTGTTTGGGCTTAAAGTTGGAGGATAATGACTTCAATTTGTTGAGTCTAATCTGTTTGTAATTAGTTTTAATTATTTATTATGGTGTCATTACTACGATGTACAATGTATCGAACCTGATAATGAAGTTTTCTTTTCAATTCAATTTATCACAATTCATCTACCATTCCCAAATCCAAAGCGTGCAACAAACTTTGCACCATAATTATTTTTTCGTCCAATTGAGACAAAATTTAACAAACTTATAGCTCAACATGGAATTGATGTTAAGATTTGCTACTGCTAATCTTAACAAATATAATCTTACTAGCCTAAACAACTCGGTGATTACTAGTGTTCACTGACTCGTCACTGCTAGTTTCAACCAAAATGATATTTATATTAAGTAAACTTGGAAGTAATTGACTTGCCACTGCAATCTCAACCACATCTTCACAAGCATCCTTTTCAATTTATCAATATCAATTTTCTCCTTTTGAGTTTTAAGTGTAGTGTGTGCCCGAATAAAATATGGTGTCTACAGTTTTCTCCCTTTGTATATCTCTTTGTATAAAGAGTTATACAAAGTTCTTATAAAGACACCATATTTTAAAGAAGTGTCGTGATAGTTGTATTATATCCTTAGAAAGAGTGATTTTTGGCTGATGTGAGAATTGTTCGTAATTTTGTGGGTTTGCATTTGATCACCAATTGTGACGACTTCCATTTCTTTGATAGTCTTCACCAATGATGGAAAATTTACATTTTTATATAGCGTTCGCCAATGCAAAAATTTTTCTAATACTCACTCTACTGTACTTCTTTGATGCATGACAGCGTCGACAGTTTTTCTGATGCTCGTCAATCATCTTCTGCAAAATTTCTTTAGCGCTTGCCAGCTCCGGTTAGGTATTCACTGGTAGGGGTGCTCTTTATCTCTTATGCGTTATTGAATGATAGAGGGGCTCGTCAGCTCCTATGAGGTGTTGATTGGTAGGGGCGCTCTTCAACTCCCGTGCGCTGTTGACTCGTAGAGGGGCTCGCCAGCTCCTGTAAGGTATTAATTTGGTAGGGGTTCTCCTTAGTTCTCGTGCGTCGTTGACTGATAGAAGGGCTCGCCAACTCCTATGAGTTATTAATTTGGTAGGGGTGCTCCTCAGCTCTCGTGAGGTATTGAATGGTAGGGGCGCTCCTCAGCTCCCGTGCGTTGTTGACTGATAGAGGGGCAACTGGCTCCAGTGAGGTATTAATTTAGTAGGGGTGCTCCTCATCTCCCGTGAGGTATTGAATGATAGAGGCGCTCCTCAGCTCCTGTGCGTTGTTGACTGATAGAGGGGCTCGCCAGCTCCTGTGAGGTATTGCTTGGTTGGGGCGCTCTTCAGCTCCCGTGCGTTATTGACTAGTAGAGGGGCTCGCCAGCTCCTTTGAGGTATTAATTTGGTAGGGGTGCTCCTCAGCTCCTGTGAGGTATTGAATGGTAGGGGCGCTCCTCAGCTCACGTGCGTTGTTGACTGATAGAGGGGCTCGCCAGCTCTTGTGAGGTATTAATTTGGTAGGGGTGCTATTAAGCTCCCGTGAGGTATTGAATGGTAGGTGGGCTCCTCAGCTCCCGTGCGTTGTTGACTGATAGAGGGGCTCGCCAGCCCCTGTGAGGTATTAATTTGTTAGGGGTGCTCCTCAGCTCCCGTGAGGTATTGAATGGTAGGGCACTCCTCAGCTCCCGTTAGGTAAACATGACCCGGATACAATCATATCTTTTTGTTATATGAAGATTTTTAGGCGTTCATCATCGTCAAAAGTTTTTGTTGACGCATTTTTAGGCATCCGTCATCGCCAAATGTTTATATGGTGATGTATTTTTAGGCGTTCGTCATCGCCAAATGTAGTATGTTGACGTATTTTTAGGCTTTCGTCATCGCCAAATGTAGTTTTTAAGGGGAATTCCATAGGACATGCCTAAAGCGATGCATTAACTTGTCCTAATTGTAGAGTGAAAGCTCATGCCAGACTCAAGAGTGAAAATTATGTAATTGTCGTGTTTTGCATCTAGTCCTTTAGTTGGACATTTGAAATTCAGATAAATGTTTAACTTAACTTATGATGATGTCGTTCACTAAGTATTAAAATGATTTGCAGAATGATTGTATGGTGAGTCATGCTGATGAATGATGCATGCATGTCATGTAAAAAATGTAGTATGATGTATAATTGCTGGTTATAAGATATGTCTGCTTTTGTTTTATGTTTTAACCCAGGGTTTCTTTAAATTGCTCATCTTTAGGAACTATCATTTCCTTTTGATCAACTTAATCTTTGGTTCTGCTTGTGTTGGGGAGACTTTCAGCTCGCTCACTTGAAACTTATCTTCGTGATGGTAGTTGTACGAGGATATACTTTGCGGGGTGAGATTAGTATACGCCTTGCGTACGCTAGCTTAACCGATATAATATATGATGAAGAGTTGCCCACGATGCAAGGATTTGCTTGTAGCTAATAAGCGAGAGAACGATGTCGATAAATCTTTAGTTGTATTATTCGCTAAATCGAACTAATGCCGAACTTACACTTATATAGTACGCAAACCCTACAAATAACCCTACGTAGCCGAACTCGGCATCTAATGGGCCAACTAATGATCCAAGCCAACCCTACGTAGCCGAACTCGGCATCTAATGGGCCAACTAATGATCCAACCCCACGCAGCATAGTACACCCAAGCCCAACCTACCTTCTCGTCGGCCTCTACCATCCAAACGAGCATCCATCAATGCGATAATATATCCTATATAGGATTCAAACTTTGACTAGCTGACGAGACAGTCGGACAAATATTCTCAACTCAAAAGAAGAAACAAAAGGAAGAGGGTTTGTGTATCCGGGCTTCGCAATTTGGCCAAAGGATTAACGACAAACTATAGCAGAAAGGAGTACGTACGAAAGCTAATTCTTTACATTCCTGTTTCTCACGCAAAATCAAATTTGGAGTCTTAATTCCTGCCGGCCGGATTTGGCTGTGTATATAAACCTTGATCGACACCACTCTCCTTTCAGTATTAACTTACAAAGCTAAAACTCACAGTTCAAAAGCAGAAGCAAATTTTCCTCAACATATAAATTTGTAGCTATGGCTTCGAAAGCTTGTATTTTGTTGTTCGTGTTAGTCGCTGCTTGCCTTCTAGTCTGCAGTAGCTCTTCCGGGCTCCGACTTTCAGCAACCAAGTCATCACCGCTCCCTTCCACAGCTTCGGTTAAGGTTGACGGCGTCCATCAGGTGATTTCACGATCGGTGCATGCATGCGTTCTTTTTGACTTCCTGCCATGTTAATTAAGATACCATGTTAAGGGTTATACGGTCCGGTTTCCGGTTTTTCATCCGGTCCCGGTCCAAATAGCCAGCCCTAGTTATGGAGAACTAAATAATTCTGATACCATGTTAAGAAAAGAAATATGAACGACAAAAACTCGGTTTTACGTGATATCCCTGAAAGGTTCAGGACTAATCCACGGGAGATCCTAAAGACTCTCCTAGCTATTGATATATTGCTTGATGTTGAACAACAGTACAAAGAACAATATATATGGCCGACTCTCCTCCTCCCCTTTGGATATCAACAAACCCTACGAATACTCGGATTTCACTCTGGGTACCATAGAACTCCCCATATGGTGGGTGCCTTCTACGGTACCCCGGGTGAGATTCGGGGTACCGCATACCTTGAATATGAAAATGCTATCTAGAACTCGAATTAGCAGGATTTTTGTGCATGATACTATAACCTAACCCTTAATTAGTGAACCGTAGGTCCTAATTATCTAAATCTAAACTATAAACCCTAAGATGGTGCATAAAATATAATATAATTATAAACCAACAATAATCTACATTACATATACTAGCTAATACTCACTCTACTGTACTTCT